CTTCAGTGTGAGGTAGAAATAATTAGGATTACAGGCATCTTCACCATGAACATGACTGAGGCAGGGCTGAAATGTTTATTTTACAGCCAGCTGTAAAATTAACTCTTAGTCACTTTTCACCACTTACCAAGGCAACATTTGAGGACAAGTTCATTTTTTGACAAATTTTCTGGAGTGAATACAACAAATGTAGGGAAGAACATGCATACTTAGTAAGAAAACCCCAGCAAGATCCCACACACACTGGTGGAATTACCACGCACCTTACTGAATGTGCAATACTAGCCACAGCAATAGGAAATAGAAGACAGTTTTCTCTTAAAAGTTAAAAACTGAAAATTATCTCTGTTTATGGAATCAAGTTACAGAATACAGAGAAAAGGACAAAGGAAAACACCACCAAACTAGAACATAGGAAGTTCCACGTTAATGTGAGCAAAAACCTCTTTATTATGAGGGTGACAGAGCATTGGAACAGGCTGCCCAGAGAGGCTGTAGTCTCCTTTTCTGGAGACTTTTAAGACCCACCCGGATGTGTTCCTGTGTGATCTGCCCTAAGTGTTCCTGCTGCAGCAGGGAGGTTGGACTAGATGATCTTCAAAACTTCCTTCCAACCCCTATGATTATATGATTCTACATATCAGCTGTAGGCAATATAAACAATATTTCCTTGCTACCATGGCTGGGTTTTTCTTTTATTAAAAAACAAACAAACACAAACCAAACCAAACCCAGTTATAACCAAGGCCTAACGAGTTGGTGGTATTTTCATCAATTTGAGTAGCGAGTCTATGTCTCAATTACATGAAAATATGTGGACAACTGTGCATGCATTTTGCAACACAGAAATGGTTTAACCTTGATCTTCTGGTGTCTGTGATTTTTCACGGTTTAAAATGCCACTACCTTTTTATAGTCAATCTAGAAATGCAACAAGTGAATATATGAAGATCAACACCATACACATTTTTTTATTTTATTTTGGAACTAAACAAGAACTATTGGGTTGCTTGGGAGTCAAGAGATGGCATATTACCTTTGACATATATTTGGATGAAATGGAGACTTTTGTTACGAATTCTGTAAAATTTTTAAGCAAAAAAATGAAAAAATATCATAAAGTTAGCTTATTGCATGTATGAAGACCTTTAAAAAACAATATTTTAGTTATGCTCTGGCAATTATTTTTTTCTTACTTTGAAAAGTAGGAATTAATACATTGGGTACACAGAATGTCTCGAAAACTCAATAGCAAGAGTTAAAAAATATACAAGTTTCAAATTTAACCATCACAATTTAAGTGTTTGAGTCAGATGCCCAAATTTTATGATGTCTTTCAAGGTTTTTTTTGTTTTTCAACATCACTATGGTATAGAACACTCTACAAATCTGTTTTTGTGAATGAAATTTTTATTTACACACTGTATCCAGAAGCAGATACGTAAATCCTTATACAATTATTTTTCAAAAATGTGCAAGAAATTACTATAATTTTGTTTACAAACCAAAACACATTAAAATCAATGGACTTTGGATAATTCACTCTGTGGCGTGCTTAGTACAAATAGCGCACACCAGGTCTGAAACAGAGAAAAGTGTAAACTACAGCAATCTGGATTGCAAGTATTAACTTCATGGCACTCCATCATCACTATAAAAATTCTTAAACCCAACAGGTATTTTAAAAAATTATTTCAGATTTTTTCATTCTGTGTAGAATTTAGAACACTTACCAGATACAATGCCATATTTCCAATATTATGAACTACCATCTAGCCCATTTTTTTAATTTATAAAGAATGCTTGTAATTTTCATGCTTTGCAGTCATAAAAAGCTTCTAAGAAATTAAACTGGCAATCATTAATTTATTCATAGCTTAGTTCAGAATCTGAAAGCTCAGTTACAGAGAAATACCTCTCATCAGCATCATAGCCCATGTATTGCTGGTATGCTGTTTCAAATTTCTAATTCCAGTATTCACATAGATGAAATGCATAAAATCAAAATTTGCACAAGTTTCACTTAGCCCAGCAGTCAATACCCACAGAAAGAAATTTACTTTAACAAAATGCAAAGTCAGCTCATCTGAGAACAAAGAGTTTAATTAACAATTGCATTTCTGATCCTTCTGGCAGAGAAATATTTTGATGGAGTGATGGCATTCACTATGTCAACAGCAGGATAAGTGCTATATCCTTCAAGTAGATCAAAAAATACAAATAATTTTCAGTTGTTTGTAACACTGGCTTAAAGAAAAAAAAATAAACAACACAAAGGAAATTGTGCAAATTTATTTTCTATTTCCAAATGCAAGGTGTTGTTTACCCTTCTAACTGGTAAACCAAAGCATGTTATCAATAATGTCAATCATTTCAGATGCTAAAAAAAAGTTTTATTTCAAAGTTTCATTTTCAAATTTTTTTTCAATTGCATAAAAAGCATACCTTTAGAACCCCTAAACTGTTGTGCTGAATAGTCATAATTCTACTCTATAAGGATCATAGTCAGTTAGCTTTTATTCCTAGTGCATACACTTCTGATGGTCCCCAAAATAACCTCAATAATTTTACTTTTATTTGTGAAGGACACTTTGTTCCCCTAATTTTCATGAAGCAGAAGTCAACACAGTTTTTGTGGTTACTCTGAGTACTTCTAAACTGTCCATAACTAAATGTTACTGTGTTTCTTTAATATTAATCTTTATTATAAGAAATTGTAAGTATCTAATATTTTGGAAGTCATTTTACTGGGTTCCTTCTCTTGGATGGCCAGTTACATCAGTATGAAAAAAATACTGTGAGGTTCTGATTAACGAAACCTGTAAAAATATTTGCGTCTAGTTACTACTGATGTAAAGTATTTTGAGCTTAGCATCATTTTTAATTTAGAAACAAAGTGCTACATAGTTCTCACATCCTAGGCCTCAGCCACTTTACAGTGTTCCTTTTGTGAAAGCTTTACGGGGGAAGAAGGGAAATGACAAAGTAAACTTCACCTGATTTAAGTTGGCAGATGAAGAATGCAGCAAGGAAGGCAATTAAAAAACTGGATAGCTGAACCAAAGTTTAAAAAAAAAAAAAAAAGAACCAATGTGTATGAGCAAACAAACTGAAATTTATAAAGGCATGGGCAAGAAATTTTAGCATGTCTGTTCTTGCACATTTTTCAATTCAGCAGTAAGACCAGGAAAGTATAGCTTCAAATATTTAAGTTTCAATGCAATGACTGCTAAATTAATGCATATGGTGTAGTATAAGCATATGTTTAATGCATTCAATAGTGGTATTAAATGGTGAAGAAAATATTTAATATACTATAATCTTTCAAAGATTCTGCAGAATGCGTAGGTCCTCTAGCTTGTATGGGGAAAGAATTTTTAAAGTGAAGAAAATGCCAGAGGTTTTATTCCAAAAGTATGCACCTGAAATTCACAAAAATTATTTTCTTTTTCCTCCCCACAGACAAAATCAGATCACTGTACCATACAACAGGTTATTGTGCCTTTTTGAATAAAGTTAGTGATCCTGATTCAAGGGGCAGCTTGTGGGGGGGGCAGTCAGTAGAGGGGTGGGGAAAAAAAGAAAACGAAATTCGCACTTTCATATATATATATCTCAGTGGCAGAGCCAACAAGTTACTCATATAGACTGCTCTAGATTTTTTAACTTTAAAACTTTATCAGACTAAAGAAAAAATCCTTATTCTCACTCCCTTAGAAGTAAAGGCAGCCTCTACCTACCTTTGATTTTCTTTTTTTTATTTTCTAGTTAAACATTATGGTCAAAAAATAAATTAAAAAAATATAAATTTCGTCTATCAATTCAGGCAACCCAAGATGTAGTGCTATTGCACCACCTTGCAGCAATACTGTGTTCGTTTCTAAAGACTCATTTCAGGGGACAAAAAAGCTAGATTAAACAAGGAGAAGAAAATTAGCTAAACAAGAAATCTGTATCAAAGATGAACCACATTTTCAAAGTTGATGCTTACTGACTAGCAACTCCTACCAGAGATGGGGAAGATGACATTCTAAAATATAAAACAGGGGGGTAGAGGAAGGCAAAACAAACCTCCCTCCCAATATAGCCATGGTTCCTTTAACAAATAACTTATAAAAATGATAGAATAATGGGGAAAAAAACCCTGAAAACAGGAAAATGCCATGGATTAACCTTGCATGATGAAAAGATTACAGTGTAGAACCTGTACTCCCCACTGAAAGTCTTTTTTTTTTTCCTACAGAAGGCTAGAATAACTGTAAGTTCTTCAAATGCCAGAATCTTTGACAGGTATCATAAACATTTATGTAATTGACTCAATATATCACATGTCAAAACATTTTTTATGACAGTAAACTGAAACATTTTCTGTGGTCACTGTACATCCAAATCCCTTTTCCCCATAATTTAAAAAGCTATGAGAACAAAGCTTTAGAAATGCATTTTAAGCATCTTCCATCCAAAATGTTATCAGTCCTGTTCCTTCCTCCCCAAAGGATACCCAAAAAAAGGGGAAAAATTACCCAAAGGATATTAATGATTACTGCATTTCTGAAGTGAAAAAAATGCAGAAAATAGTAACATTTCAAGTAGCTTGAATGTACATTATAGAAATCATACTAGCAGAAGTTTTACCCCATTCCTAAAATGGCTTATATATTATGTTCCCATAATAGCAATTTCGAGAGTCTTCCTAAAAACCCAGGAAAATTCCCACCCTGCCCCCAGGACAAGGTAGGAGGGAAAAGGACAGAAAGAGGAGACCTGGTAGGTGTAAATTTATTTAACCAATGGCATGATTTTTAAAAGGTAATATTTGACAAGACCCCAATACCGCAATTTCCTTACACGTATTACACATTGACTTTCATAGACTTTTTTTTTTTAAAGGCCATTTTTAGAAAAAAAAATACTGAGACAAGAAGAAGGCTCAACCAACCTTCTCGAACACAAAAAGTGTACAGACAATACAAGGTTTAGGAGAAAGGTCGTTCTTTTTCCCAAAGATATGCTGCATAACCATGTTCTTATAACACAGTTCTGTCTGTAAGTTCTACATTAGGGCATATCTCTATAGAAATTTATCATTAGGATACTAAGGAATAGTTTTTAACATAGACGTAAATTCTGCAATTTAGAATACCAACTTTTATCCGTGATCATTTTTTTCAAACAGGTTATTTTAAAGGGAAAAAAATTCCATTCAACAAGTTTTATTTGACTTTTACTTAGGGTTGAATACACATGAAATGTGCTTTCAATGCATAAAAATCACAGTGGATAGCAGCAAAGGACTTGGGGGAAATTAAGGAGAATTTGATCATTCACATTGTGATTAATCTGCACATTGATGAAAGATAGCTATTTCACACTTCTAAAAATAAAGTTGAAATAATTCTTTAAAAAAAAAAAAAGCCCCCCAACATACACAAAAACCCTAAAACAAACATAAATCCAAATGCATTACTTTTCTTTTACACACAAAAATGAAATATTTTTATGGCAGCAAAATATTTTGATAATAATGAAAGTCTGTAAACTGTAATTCAATCTCTTTTTGTTCTTGTCGTTCCCAAAGTGCAAGATGCAAGATTCCCACAAGCTTTCAGTAGTGCTTTTCCTGTAAATAATCCTTCATTTTGTTTGGCAAAGGCAGTTTCTGAATCAGGTCTATTCTGGTGTACTGACGTATTACAAAACGACACAGGTATTGTAAAGAGCGCACCTGCATAAACCGAGATACGGGATTTGTCAGTCTCACTGGGTAAGTTGCAGATCCAGGCAGTCGCGACCTCGAATAGCAGAAAGCTCCGTTTTCTGAGTCCCTGATTGAATGTTCAATTAGGTCAACTATAGATGTATGTCCCTCCACATCCGGTTGTTCATAAAAGCTAAACCTACCATTTGAGTGTTCAATTCTAGTGTGAAGAGTTTTTCCATGTGAACGAAAACTCAAACTTAAAAGATAACGATCATCAGAACTATCTCGAACAAGAAACGAGCCATCAGGCACATTAGCTAATTTTCCCTCTGCTTCCCAACGTGTAATTGGGCCCCAGTACCATCCTTGTTTTGCAAGTTTTTTCAGTTCTTCTGTGAGACTCGTCACAACCATAGGACCACTGTTCTGTACAGAATCATAAACTCTTCCAACTCCAGGGGCAGTGTTAGGATCAAAATTCAAATGGCAGCGCATACTTTCAGCCACATGGGCATCTGTGCCACTCAATCCATTGAAGTTCCTTTGGATTTGATTATTCTGCATTGGAGGTAGCAAAGGTGAGAGTGGAGGGACATCACTGTGATTAACTCTTGGGCTCTGTAACATGACTCCTGTGGTACCAATCAACAAACCATTCACTGTCTGGTCCACAAAGATATCTGGTGCAACAACTACATCCTGATCCACTTGGCTCTCTTCTTCATGGAAAACACTTCCCCCCACTTGAGAAGAGACAGTTGAAACTTCCATGGGTGAGGAACTATCCAGACAATAACTTTGTGATCCTTCCAAAGGATACATTCCCTCATCTAAAGGCACAGTATACTGAATGTAGTCCTGAGGCATTAATCCAATAACTACAGGCACATGTTCATCAATATGAAGATGCAAGTCCCCGTTTTGAGACTCCGCATTTTTTAACATGTTGTTTTGTTCCTGGAACACGCTGTCTGACTGCAAATCATGGAAGTCTTTTCGAACACCATTCAGTGCTGGGCTTGGATTAGAGGAATGGACCAAGGCCTTGACTTTCACTTCCATTTTGATGCAAGTCTCTTCTGAATTTGTAGGTCGAAGGGGCCACGGAGTTGGGCTGTAATGATGATTACGGAGGGAAGTGGATCTCAGAGGTCTCTGAGTTCGCACATCTTTGAAGGTTATTGGAGCAGATGAGGAAGAAAACGTGTCATCATCTGCAGAGCTTACAGATGGTGTGCTGCCTTTGCCTTTCTGTTTTTGTTTTGCTGAAAGCCTCCTTTTTAACGTACCCATTAAACTTTCGCTTTTTGATCTATTTTTGCCTCCTTTTTCATCTTCACTATTGACTTCACAGCTAGCCAAATCTTTACCGTAGCAGCTGCCAAACAAGGAGTCATCTTTTCCAAATTCACTTAACGATGGCTGCTGAACCACTACAAAATTGCTTTCATCTTTACTTTTATTTAAGTTGAAGGACTTGCGAATTGTTTTGAGACTAATTTTCTTCATTATGACAAGTTACCAAGTCTGGCTGATGAGCAGTGCTTGTGGTGATACAGCGCTAACACATGCTGAGCAGCCTCTGCCTCATTTATGTGTTTTATCCAGCCTCATTTAACTTGAAGAGCCATTTCCTGGAAACAAATAAAAAACACAATTAACTTCACAAAATAAATATTTTTTAATTATTCATATGTGTTTTCCCCCTCTCCAAAAAAGACAGAAATTGCAGTACTTAAGGAACAGGCACCAAATAAAAATAAATATGGCGAACTGACTTGGAAATTAATCAGGTTAAATAGATAGATAGAAAGACAGACAGAGAACAGGGAGGCGATTCAGGACAGCCAGCATGGCTTTACTAGAGGAAAATCCTGCCTGACCAACCTAGTGGCTTTCCACAATGGAGTGACTGCATCAGTGGACAAGGGAAGACCTATGGATGTCATCTATCTGGACATCTGCAAGGCCTTTGACACAGTCCCCCGCAACATCCTTCTCTCTAGGTTTAACAGATACCAGTTTGATGGGTGGACTGTTCAGTGGATAAGGAATTGTGGCTGGATGGTCGCATCCAGAGTGTAGTGGTCAATGGCTCAATATCCAGATTGAAAACAGTGACAAATGGTGTCCCTCAGGGATCTGTACTGGTTTAATTATGTTGACAATGGCATTGAGAGCACCCTCAGCAAGTCTGCTAATGACACAAGTTGGGTGGTGCAGTTGATATGCCAGAGGGATAGGACGCCATTCAGAGGGATCTGGACAAGCTGGAGAAGTGGGCCTAGGGGGACCTCACAAGGTTCAACAAGGCCAAGTACAGGATCCTGCACTTGGGCTGGGGGGAACCAGAGATATCAGTACAGGCTGGGGGAAGACATGCTGGAGAGCAGCCCTGTGGAAAAAGACTTGGGAATACCAATGGATCAAAAGCTGGACATGAGCCACCAATGTGCAGTTGCAGCCCAAAAGGCAAACGGCATCCTGGGCTGCATCAAAAGAAGCGTGGCCAGCAGACTGACTCTGCCCTTCTACTGTGTCCTGGTGAGACCTCACTTGCAGCACTGCATCCAGCTCTGGAGCCCCCAATACAAGAAGGCTGTGGACCTGTTGGAGCATGTCCAGAGGAGGGCAACAAAAATGATGAGAGGACTGGAGCACCTCTCTTACAAAGACAGGCTGAGGGAGTTGGGGTTGTTCAGCCTGGAGAAGATTCTGGGGGGACCTTATAGTGAGCAACCATCCAATACCTGAAAGGAGCCTATGAGAAGGCTGGGGTAGACCTGTTCACAACAGCATGTAATGACAAGACAAGGGCTAGAAAAACCTAGATTTAGGTTGGACATTAGGAAAAAGTTCCTTAATGTGAGTGTGGTGGATCACTGGAATTGGTTGCCTGGAAAGGTGGTAGAGGCCCCATCCCTGGAGACATTCAAGGTCAAGCTTGATGCGGCTCTGAGCAATCTGTTCTAGTGTGAGATGTCCCTGCTTTATTGTAGGGGGGTTGGAATAGATGATCTTTATAGGTCCCTTCCAACTCAAGATGTTCCACAATTCTATATATGTACATATTTTCAAATGCTAAGATACTTTTGTTTTCATTTTCTTATGACAGATGCATGTAGAACCATAAAATTCAATGTTTTAAAATACTGCTGTTTAATATGAGCTCCATGTGTTTGGAATAATTCGGAAATATAGAAGTACTGAAAAACAAACATGAATGGATTACATTTAGTGGGTTTTACATGCCTCAAATTTGGCATATCAGGATAGCTGATCAAGTACAGTACTTAAGAAAAAGTTACAGATGAACAGTTACATGTCAATTAAAAGTAGACTCAAAATGTCTTTTTGACTACCTATTCTGAAATCATTTGGATTTTGCCATCTTACCAGTTTACAGTACGCTTTTCACCATATGTAAATAAATGAATTTACAAAATTAATGAAAAATATAAGCTCAGAATTCTATGCTGCTCCTAAACTGATCAAGTCAGCGTGTTTGTTCATTTGATAAATTTAACTGTGTCTTTCTGTATGCTGTACCAGAAGCCTGGAAACGCTCACATTAGCCCCACTTGTGAAATCCACCATGTTCTCCTACTGCTTCTGACTGATATCCACAAGCTGATATTATTTCCACTTTACCAGTTAAGTCCCCTGATCCTTGTGGGAAGTACCTCATATTGTTTGCAACTCCTAACCTTAAAAAAGCAAGCATGGAACAAAGTAAAATCTGCCTTCCATCCTATGAATAAAAACATTACCACATTGCTGACTGGGGAGAAAAGATGTATAGAGCCCCAAACTGTCTAATTCACCCTTTTTTTTAATTAGTGTGTTTCAAAAGAATTAGTTACCTAAAGTGTGACTGAAGGAACATTTGTTCAGTTTCTCCGTAACTAAAAAATTAAACAAGTCACTTGAAAGAACAGGTTTTTCTCTCATACTAGTCTCTATTAAAATGTGGCTTTTTTACAAATTAGAAGCAAATATCTAAATATAATCTCAACAGATAAATCTCTATGGCAGCACACAGAGAAGTCAATTTTTTTTACTTTGGAAATTACTATTGATCCTGCATCAGCAAAAAAGTTATATCCACCTATCAGCTTACCAAATGCACAACTCACTACATGTATCATTGTAACATTGCATGTAAAGAAATAAAGGTTTAAAGTTCAAATAAAAACTATATAAATGACATCCATATAACCAAAAGTCTCGCTTACTCATCCACAAAAAGATGATAAACATCTAGCAGTCTGGGTCAAAGCTCTCTCCAAAGCAAACAGAACACACCTACAGATGAGAGCAAGCCTCTAAACTTTACATCTCTTACAGGTATTTTAGCCAATTCAGGAGTAAGCAAATATACCCTCAAGTCAAATACTCCAATAGACCCAGATACACTTTTTCCTTTGCATGTATTTAAAGAATATCAGTAATTCTGCATACTAACGTGTTTAGAAGAGCTGTATAAACAGTCTTTATTATATGATACACTCACACATTTGCAGGTGTAGAATTTTCCACTGTCTACATATAAAAGAGCTGAAGCAGAAGAACCCAGCATGCAACCCTTCTTGGAATACATTAAAATGAGTTACGCAACTTCTGCACAGCCCTCAGTGCTGCAACAACTTTGCTAGTATTTTGTACAAATTACAGCATCACTGAAGTCTCCCACTGATATGCTCTTCCAGTGCCACCTGCTGTACAGCGAATTTAGACAGCCTAACTAGCGATACCTCTTGAAAATCTTCTGGCAGGTATTTTGCAACTATAGACAGACTCAGAACTACGCCAACATGCTCTCAAAACCTGTTGGCTATGTATGCAGAAATACCTGGAACACAAATCTTGAAAATAGGAGACTGACACTCAGAAAAAGAACGAGATGTTAACACACAGAATAATGAGGCAGAATGAAATTCTGGCTTACGAACTTCCATCACAAATCCTGCATCTTGGAATCTTTACAATTATGCTGGTAGACGAAACATAGGCCTCTTGACAAAAACTACCAGACTACCACCCAGCAAACACCATGGACCCCTTTGTGCTTATAGAAATACTCTAAATTAAATTTGTGCACCTTGTTTTGAAGTACAAGAGCAGGTATTAACCACATACAAATGTGAAATTATTAGCAAAGAGAATTAAAGCTAAGACAATACAGGATGCTTCTCCAAAATCTGAAGAGCAAGTCATATGACTCTATATTAATTTTTAATATGGTGGCCAGCACTGATTTATGAAAAAAATTGCAAGTTTAAAATAAATTTTTTAAAGTTTGTGCAAATCTAATTTGAATATTACAATACTTGAGAGTAGTTTCAGTTTGATGCTACAAAATTTTTCCATGGACTACCTCAGTGTTTCCAAAAGTACAGCAACAAAAAGTTTTCTTATTCACATTTATATGGCCTTTATT